TGGGTGTAGACCCCAGGCCTTCGGCAGACCCAAGCCAACCGAATCTGAAACAAAAAAGGCGAAACTTGGCAGTCTGGGGAAATACCCAGCTGATAAAGTTAGGGGGAAAAACAGCATGTTGCGAACGAATATGCAGAGAGGTTTAATGCCCGAAAGTTTACAAATATATATAATCATAAATAAATATATACATTTCTATAAATATGTATATGCTAAGGGAAAATGAACCGCGGTGTATCACTAGGGTGGACATGACAGGACGGAAATTGTGAAGGTAATGCGGGTTCAAACACAAAGGCGCACTAAGGATTTAAATTGGAGAGTATTTAGTCACAAAACGTGCACAAATATGTACCGGAAATACTTCTGTTGCACAAATCCTGCTTTAAAGCAGAATCCGTGTACTGATAAGAATTGGGTTTAGAAAGTGAAACACAGCTGCCTGGTTAGCATGTGCCACAGAGTTCAGCCAAAGAAAACAGGTGAGGACCATATCGGAATACAAACTGAGAGCGATACTTGAACGGGGGCAAAAGAACACACCGTTCCTCTACGAGTGTATCCGCCGACTGCGTGACACGTCTTGCCTCTCTCTTGCCCTCAAGTTACCAGATAGGACAGAAGTAACTGCCCCTTCAGGCAGGGGGTATGATCCTCAAACTGGTCCGGAATGCGGACGCATGTAGTCTAAACGCTGGATGCAACCGCGCTTAACAACCCTTGCTGGAGCTTAATTGTTCATTTATGGGTGCAGACCCCAGGCCTTCGGCAGACCCAAGCCAACCAAAGCTGGAACAGAAAAGGCAAAACTCGCCAGTCTGGGAAGAGGGGAACAGCATGTTTCGAGAAAATATGCAGAGAGCTTAAGTGCGCGAAAGTATATATATATTTAAAAAGGGAGGTGCGCTGGGGTAGAACCCAGTCGAGAATGGATGAGGAGAAACAAAGCATGTCATGAAAGAATATACGGAATGCGCCACGGCCGGAAAATATATAAATATATATCTGTAACAGGACAAGGCGCACCGTAGACAGATCGCAACGACCGAAGTTGAAAAGTGAGGACTGTTAAACTGTCAGCATGTCACGAAGATAATGGATCGATCAGAGGGTTGACATGGAGGGACGAACCTAGATCATCAATGACTATGGGTGATAAACCTAGCGCAGGTTTTTACCTGTAAAATTTGTGTTCCAGTGATCAAGCTTTGAAGCTCGACCAGTGTGCTGATTAGAAACAGGTTGGACTGTGAACACTACCGCATATTGAACATGTGCCACGGATAAGAGGTGCATAAGGATTAGAGATTAAAGAATAGAACAAAAACCTTGAGGGGTATAATGACAAACCTGGTATAGAATTCCACCTAAATTGTTTGTGTTCCACTGATCAAGATTTGAAGCTCAACCAGTGTACTGATTAAAAACAGGTTGGAGTGCTTAAAAACCAGGAGCTTAAAGCTTTCACACATAAAGCCAGTTTGGTAAATCTCTAAACTGAACACTACGATAAATACAATTACCAGTCACCCTGTTTCTCACCTAAACTTTCCTGGAAACGTTACCATCACCGCCCTGCAGGAAATCTGTGAAGCCCTGAATTCCGTCCTTACCTCCCCGTTTACCAATGATTCAATTCCCGCTACCGCTAGCATGCCATCATCCACGACTGAGTCTTTAGATGTCATTCACTTTACCATCAAAACGTTTGCTTACCTTCTAAGTGTAACTAAGCTTTCCTCTGGACCTGGATCGGATGGACTACTCCAAAGTACTGAAATGCCTATCATCCTGATAAAATTATTTTCCTTGACATGGATTGGTGGAATCATACCATCGTATGGAAACAATCTACCATCATTCCACTTCATAAAACGGGTTTCAGCTATAATCCATCTAACTACCGTCCGCTTGACCATCTACATATCCTTTCTGAAGCGACGGAAAAATTGTCAAAGGTAACTTCCTGGCCACCTTCTCAATGAAAACCAACTTAGAAAGTTCCAACATGGCTTTCTCAAATTTCGCTCCTGTCAAACTTGCCAGTTCAATTTTTAAACAGTCTTACTAAAGCAGTAGATTTTTAGTGACTAAACGGTTGCTGATGTTTGTCGGAACCTGTGACTAATGTTCACTCACGTTCGTTCCGGATATCCGTCCCAAAAAGAANAAAGAAACATAATTGAGGATTGGGTTTGTAATAAACGTTATCTTCTAAATCTTCCGAACGGTTGGGAATAAGTGTTGACTAGGCATGGGCTGTTATTCAAGCAACGTCAGCGGAAACCTGAAAGTATACCTGATCAATGCAAGGAAAACGTGCAATACAGAGCTCATCGTGGGGAACTATGCCGGTGCAGTCTTTTCGAGGTCACTGAAAGCACGATAATAGTTAAAGCAAAACTTAATCCTGAAAAGGTCCAAGTTGCTTTATCTAATATCTAATTAGGAAACTTTCCCCGTAAGATAGCTATCACTAAATAATGGTGATAAATGATCACAGCCATCTTGAATGTATCTATCAGGAAACTTGGAGAAAACAAGAGGCAAGAATAGGAAACTGCCGTTGAGAAACTGTCAGTTAACG